GCAACTTGGGAGGCTGAGGCAGGAGGATCATGAGCTCAAAGCCAGCCTCAGCAACTTAGCAAGATCTTAAGTAACTCAGAGACACCCTATCTCTAAATAAAGTACAAAAGAGGCCTGGAGATGTGACTCAGTGGTTAAGTGCCCCTGGGCTCAATTCCTGATACCAAAAAACAAAAAACAACAACTCAGTTTTGATTTGCATTTCCCTAATTGCTAATGATGTTGAACATTTTCTTATGTATTTGTTGGCCATTTGTATTTATTTGAGAAATGTCTATTTAATTCATTTGTCCATTTATTGATTGGGTTTATTTTTTTTTGATGTTTTTTGATTCTTTATATATTCTAGATATTAATCCTGTCAGAAGGGTAGCTTGCAATGATTTTCTCCCATTTTGCAGGTTCTCTCTTCACATTCCTAATTGTTTCCTCTTTTGCTGTGCATAAGCTTTTTAATTTGATGCCATCCCATTTATTCTCTTGGCATTATTTCCTGAGGTTTACAGGTCCTATTGGGAAAAAGGCGAGCTGGAGATATAGCTCATTTGGTAAAGTGCTTGCCTTGCATGCACAAGGCTGTGGATTCAATCCCCAGAACCACAAAAGAAAAAAGAGAGAATATCATTGCCTATGCATGGTTTCTGGGCTAATTCTGAGGTCTTTGATTCATCTTGAGTTGATTTTTTTTGCAGGGTGAAAGCGAAGGGTCTAGTCTCATTCTTACACACATGGATAACCAGTTTCCCCGGCACCATTTGTTACAAAGACTGTCTTTTCTCCAATGTTTTTGGTGTCTTTGTCAAGAATCAGTTGACTGTATCTGTGTGGGTTTGTCTCTGTGTCTTTTATTCTGTACCATTGGTCTGTGTGGCTGTTTTGATGCCAGTACCTTGCAGTTTTGTTACTATAGCTCTGTAGTATAATTTGAAGTTAGATGTGATGCCTCCAGCGTTGTTTTTTTGGCTTAGAATTTCTTTGGCTGTTCTGGCAGGTCTTTTATTCTCCCAAATGAATTTTAGGACTTTTTTTTTTCCCTACTTCTGTGAAGAATGTCATTGGTATTTTTATGAGAATTGCCTTGAATCTATATATTGCTTTTGGTAGTATGGCCATTTTAACAATATTAATTCTGCCTATCTATGAACATGGGCCGTCTTTCCATTTTCTAACGTCTTTAGTTTCTTTTTCAATGTTCTATATAGTTTTCATTGTAGAGGTCTTTTGCCTCCTTGGTTAGATTTATTCCTAGGTTTTTTGTTTTGTTTTGTCTTAAGGTATTGTGAATAGGATTGTTTTCTGGATTACTGTCTCAGCAGATTCATTGTTGGTACATAGGAAAGCTGTGGATTTTTGAATGTTGATTTTGTAACCTACTTCTTTGCTGAATTTATTAGCTCTAGCAGTCTTTTGGTGGAGCTTTTTGGATCTTCTTAGTAGAGGGTCATATCATTTGCAAACAGTGATAATTTGACATCTTCCTTTCTTTTTTCTTTTTTGGTACCAGAGATAGAACCCAGGGACACTTAACCACTGAGCCACAACCCCAGCCCCCCCCCCCCCCCCGCCTTTTTGTTTGTATTTTATTTAGAGACAGGGTCTTGCTGAGTTGCTTCCTCCCTCGATAAGTTGCTGAGGCTGGTTTGAATTCATGATCCACCTGCATCAGCCTCCCAAGCCACTGGGATTACAGGCACGCGCTACCATGCCAAGCCTTCCTTTCCTAATTTTTTTAAAAAATATTTTTTAGTTGTCAATGGACCTTTATTTATATTTACTTATATGCGGTACTGATAATTGAACCCAGTGTCTCACACATGCTAGGCAAGCGCTTTACCACTGAGCCACCACCCCAGCCCCTTCCTTTCCTATTTTTATCTTTTATTTCCTTCTCATTCCTAATTGTTCTAGCTAGAATTTTTAATACTCTATTGTAGGAGTAGTGAGAATGGACATCCTTGTCTTGTTCCAGACTTTAAAGGAAATGCTGTCAGTTTTCCCTATTTACAATGAAGTTGGCTTTGGGTTTTTCATAGATAGCCTTTATGATGTTGAGGTATTTTCCTTCTTTCCATCCCTAGTTTCTTCAGTGTTTTTATCATGAACGTGTTCTGAATTTTGTTGAAGGGTTTCTCTGCAAAGTTTTCATTTTTTTTATGAAGATGTCCACACTATGTAAAATTACATAAAATAAATGAGTATACTTTTCTTCTTTTAATACATGTAAAGTCAATTCAGTCCTTGGACCCATCAGGGACCCTAAGAGGATGGAGTTCTGCCACCTCTGTACAGAAAAATGAGGTATCCTGGGGCACCGTGACCTGAACACACAGACAAAAATGCTCACAAGCTCAGCACCGTTTTCAAATAATTTATTAGGAATTTAAAACTGAAAATAAAACCTGGAAAAGAAGTTACAGATGTGGAGAGAAGAGACACCGGAGGGTGGTAACTTGCTGGCTTCAAAACACCATGTAACATCTTTAAAAAAAAAAAAAAAAAAAAATTCCCCAAACAATTCAGAAAACGGAATTCCAGGGCCCTGAGCCCATGGTTGGGCCCAGTGGGGTGGGAAGGTCAAGGGATGAGAAGAAGGGAGAAGCTGAGTTTCTCTGGACTCAGCTCAAATGTGTAGAAAATAAAAAATAAAAACCAATAAAATGCAGCTTCTCTTTTATTAGGAAACATTTAAAAAAAAAAAAAAGAGAAAAAGAAAAAAACAAACAAACAGCCGCGCATCTCAGTAACAAAGATTATTGCTTTGTGTTCTCAGGGCTAATAGGTTAAGCACCTCACACGGGCAATTAACTCTCCAAAGGCTGGATGGATGGGGTGGGGGCTCTGATGGGGCAGGGAGCTTAGGCCCCCAGCCTCAGGCCTGGGGGAGAGGGACATAGAAGGGGGACAGTGGGTGGGCATCAGCCCTGCCACGCCAGCTAGGTCTCCCTTCATAATCATACCCTGAGCCTCTTTTTCCTTTGAAGGGGGCTCTGGGGTAAGGGGCTGCCAAGGGCCTCTGGCCACAGGACCATCCTGGTGGGAAACTTCAGTGAGAGAATTGGGGGTTCCCTGAGAAGCCCTTTGCTTTCCCCTGGCTTCTGTTCCTTACCCAAGTGCCCCCGGTTTCCACTCAGTGGAGTGGGGGCTCAGAGCAGAAGTAAAGGTCCAACCTAGGCAGGGGACAGGGGAGACCTTTGGAGAGCTAATTCCTTTCCAGCTCTGGGCAAGCCCTTCTCTTCCCTCGCCCCCACACTGGGTTTTCGGGGTGAGCAGGCCCAAGGCCTTGACCCTGAGGGCCTGAGAGAGTGGGCCTGCTGCGGCCAGGCCGAGGCCTGCAAGCTTACAGTAACGGTGTCGAGGGGACAGAGGAGGGGTGGGGGAGACCTTTGCCCTGTGGGGCCCAGGCAATGCCCTCACCCCAAGGGGTCTTAGAGAGGGGTGGGGGGCTTCACCTCACAGTATTTACATATGATACAGGACGGGATGTTCCAGGGGCTCGGCCTGGCCTACCCGCAGCCCTGCCCTCCTCTCCAGGGCTGGAGGGAGGCGGGCCAGGGGCCACACCCACATAGACATTTTGTTCTCAGCTGGTGGGGGGCACCTGGCCCCTTGCCCCCTGCGGCCTGGGGCTTCACATTCACAAACCTAGAAATAGTTTAAAAACGGTTTCTTTAAAAAAAAAAAAAGAAAGAAAGAAAGGAAAAAAAAAAAAAGGAACAAATAAAGGAGGGAAAAATCAGAATTAAAAAAAGGGTAGGGGCTAGGCCTGTAGCAGGCCCCCCGCCCTCACTCTAGCTATGCACAAATACAAAAAGCCTTTCTGGGGGGCATGTCCTATAGGGATGGCGGGGAGGAGGGGGGCAGACCGAGAGGGGACGTCCACAGGGGTAGGGGACAACCGGCTAATCCAAAATAAATAAAAGCGGGCAGGGAGAGAGGCAGGTGGGGAGGGGGCAAGGGCAGAAGGGGAGGTTAGTAGGGGAGCCAGACGGATGTGGGGGGGCAGCAGGGCAGGGGCCGGGGGGGCCCAGGGAGTGGGGGGCAGGCAGTAGCATCCGAGTCGCTGCAGGGGGAGGGGGCGGCGGCTGCGGCTGAGGTGTCCCCACCCCCTCGCTGGCTCACTCATGGTCCTCTGTCAGCTTCAGGCTGGGGCGCTGGGAAGACAATGGCAGGTTATAGAGGCCTCGGACCCTGCCCGTCCCTGTGGGGGTAAGGGGCAGTCCCCAGAACACATACACCCTCTGGTCCCCTTCCAGAAGAGTTTTGTCCAGAGGGCACTGTCTCCCAGATTTGGAGTGGCTGGATTTATCCAAATGTCACCTTCTCAGGGACACCTCTGAACCCTAAAATAATCCCCTATACACTATTTAGGATTCTCTCATTTGTTTGTTTTGTCTGGGATGAGAGAGGACCTCATCTCATTTGCTCATCTCTCTGTCCCAGAATAGTGCTTAATAAATATTTGAACAAGTGAGGTAAAGAATGAAATATCACCAATTCACAGGGTGCTCCACCATCCCGACAGACACTGGTGATTGCACCAGTCCCATGTACCAGGGGTGTCCTATTTTATAGCTGTGTAATACCCCACTGTAGGTACACTAATTTATCTAATCATTTTCCTTTTGAGAGGCATTATAGTTATTTTTGCTTTGTTTTGTTTTTGTCGTACTGGGAACTGAACTCAGGGATACTCTACCACTGAGCTACATCCCCAGTCCCTTTTATTTGAGATAGTGTCTTGCTAAGTTGCCCAGGCTGGCCTCCAATTTGCAATCCTCTTGCCTCAGCCTCCAGAGTTGCTAGGATTACAGGAGTACACTAACATACCCGGCTGAGCAGCTTTTCCTATGTTCACTCATCACTGCTAAAATAAAGGACTGTCTTCCCTAGTAGACTATGGTTCTGTGATGACAGGGAAGGGAATCTGTGTCCCAGATGGGATCATCCAGGATCAGATGCCTGGTGCCACCTTTATCCCATACCTGTTCCCACCTTCTCACCTCCTGCCACCTGTCCCCTGCTTCAGTGGTACCCATTGGTGAAGGCTGTGGCAATCAAGGGACCCTGAAAAGAAAAGAATTAGACTCCTAGAATCCTGCAGAAAGTACAGAACATTTAGGTGCTCCTTTCCTCTCTCACCAGAAGCCCAAGGTAAGGCACAAATCTTTTTCTACCCTACCATAGACTGGTGCAAAGAGACTCCAAGGCAGGCCTGGGAATTTACATATAATCAGCACCCTGGTTAATACTAGGGTCCTCCTGAGTTAGACTCGAATCTCATTACGGGCAGAGAGGGTATGAATCCACTGGCCCATCTCAGAGCCCACCAAATGCTGACACGCAGATGGTGACGATTAAATGCCGACTATGCCAATGTTAATTTCCACTGTTCCCCATTAGTGACACTTTCTTTCCCCATCCATCATGTCTCACCTGACCTTTTTCCAGAGAAGACAAACACCTCTCCCTCCCTCACTTTGGGGTTTCGCAGGGTAAAGGGAGGTGGAGGCCGCCAGGCCTGACCACTCACCCCAAGACTGTGGCCAAAGCCGGTGCTGGGGGCGGGGCTGGCGGCACTGATGTAACTGCTGACCCCCGAGTCCTGGTTGGCTGCCCCATAGAGCTCAGCCATGGGGCCAGGGCTGGTGGTCCCCAGGAAGCCCCCTGTGCGGCTGGGAGTTGAACCTGGAGGGGGAGCCATCGTCCAAGGGTGAGAGCCTGGCAACCCAGAAAGAAGATAGTGATAGCCCTGGTGCCCACTGCTGCCCCATGGCACCCCACCAAACCTCCTCCACCATGACCTTGACCCCTACATCCCAGCAGTCCTATGGGTCTACCCCATGGAGATCTCTCTACATTCATTTACCCCCAACCCCAACCCCTATCGCTTCCTGTTTGCTCACTCCACAGCCTCCTCCTTCAGCCCCTTCAAACCTGTCCCCACCCCGCAGCCCAGTGCATTTTCTAAATCTGACCTCTGTCACTCTGCTGCTTGAAGTTCCACTGTCCCCTGCCCCCACTCCTGCACTACCCATGCAACTAGCCTCCAAGCCTTTGCAGTGCTCTTCCCCCGGCCAAAAACACTTTTCCTCCTCTTTGTCTCCAAATCTCAAGTCAAGAGGCCCTTTGCCCTGGAAGCCTTCCCTGGCCTTCCTCAGAAGCCCCGGCTGGGAGCTGCTCTGGCACCTGATTCCCCCCCGAGCAGCAGAAACATCCTCTGGAATCACAGCCTTGTCCCCAGTAGCCTGGAAGCCACAGATGGCAGAAGGCCTGTGAGTGTCCATCCTGGCTCACTGATGTGGGCACAACACCCGGTACAGGGTAGGTACCCAGTTAACACTTGAGTGAATAAATTGGTGCCTTTGTCAAGGGATAGCAATGGCCACCTCATCTCCCCACTAGAATTCTCTGCCCCCTGCACCCCGACCCCGGAAGGCCTCACCTGTCCCTCGAACCACAGCCGCTGCTGCTGCTGCCGCTGCCATTGGTCCATAAGCAGTGAGAGGAATGGCTGGAAGAGAAGGTTCGAGCGTCTCAGTGCGGCCAGAGGGGGGCAGACGGATGAAGGAGGCCCCCAGCTTCTGGCAGAGGCTCTCCTTCCTGACCCCATCTCAATGCATCCCCAGGGCCAAGGCACCAAGAGCCACCTTAGGCCACCATCCATGCCCTGATTTGATGGGTAGAATAAAGGTAGGAGGGAGGAAAGCTTCCCAGCAAGCTGCTCAGCCTCAGTGTCCCCCCCAGACTCAAAGGATACACTGAAGCAACCCACGACTCCCAGAGGGTGGCCCCTGAGCTGCTCTGTGTGCTCAGTGCAGATGCCCCTTCTCCTGAGCACCCTTGGCACAACACAGGTCGTGTAGCCCAGAGGTGGCCAGAAGGCTATGTCCCTCTTTCCAGCCAGTGACCAACTGGGTAGGGGTGCAGAAAGCCAGTCCCACAGCCCCAAGGTGTGACCGACTCTGGCACATCAGGGCTCCAGAACTCGCCATGGAGTCAGACTGAGGACAGACTCTGGTGGAGGCCACAGCTGGGCCACTGCTGCTTCTGCTGTGAGTCCTGTGTTTCTCAATCCCCTTCTTCCAAGAGCACCCCTCAGGGTCTCCCTGGCCACCCAGCCCGTCAATCACCACTCCTTCTCCCAAATGCTCTCAGCATCTTTTCAGTCAAGCTCTCTCCAGGCACAGGAACCTGGCTCTTGCCTTGTTATCCATCAACCCCCGGCACCTCCCACCTTTCCCTTTACATAGCAGATATGTAATAACTGTCTGCTGAAGGAGTAGAAGGGAACCTCTGCTTAGATAACCTGTTGGCTTGAGCAGGGAACTCCCTGAGGCTGAGGTGAGTACCTCCACTGCTTGGCCCTGACACTGTGGCCACCAAGGAGCTCTACCCCATGCTGAGGATGGTCTTTCGGGATTTGCACTTGGCAAGCCTTACGCCACCATGCTCTCACTCCAAAAAGTGCCCCTTGGGGCTGTTTGGGTGACTCTGGCCTTGAAATGGACAGACCTAGGGATAGGGACCTTAGATAAGGCCCTTCCAAATCCTTGGCAAAGCCACTGGACTGGGAGATTCAAAAGGAGGACTGTAGTTCCTGCATCTTGGAGGGATCTTTCCAGCACCTTCATACAGCTGGCTCTTTCCCACTCACAAGTCACCTCTTGAGAAGCTTCCCTGATCACCCTCCATTCAGGCAGCCCTGGGGCCAATCCTAACCCCGCAGGACAGCTTCCTGCTCTATCTTTGCTGGGGAAGTTCTTACCCTCATTTACCTCTAGAATACCAGCACCCAGATGATAGTGGCCTTGTTGATTTATTCACTGTAGTGTCCCCGTGCCTGGCCCAGCACCAGCCCTATAAATATGTACTGAATACACGAAGGAAACACCCAAGTCCCCTTTTCTCCTAGGCAAGAGAAAAGTTCAGACCCTGGACTTTCAAGAATTGCTGAGCCCAGAACTTACTTCCTCCCCTGCCAAAATATCAGTTAAGAGGACACTGCTTACATCTGGTCTGTAGGGGCAGGGACAGGAGCAGGGATGGGGGCAGGGGCTGGGTGCTGAAGTCTGGTTTTTGGCCACCACAGAGCAAAGTCAGAGAATAGCCAACTCTAGCTAGTGCTTATCACAACTGTAAACAACTACTTGTTTGTATGGTATTTCATTTCCTATCTAGCTGGCATGCTCTATGAGAGCAGGGTCTGGCTCTGTTCTGTCCCTGTCTGCCCCCAGGGCCTGGCTGTGCATGCTGCACATAGTAGGTCCTCAATGCACAGTTCTCACTGGATTAAAAAGGAACTACCCTCCTCCCCAACTGCTGTCAACACCCATCTGTTCATGGTAGAGCCGCTGGGACTTCTGCCACCAGGGCTCTCCTCCCTCCCCTTCCTTCATCCCAAGTTTCCCTTTCCCCTCCCACATTCTTGGGGAACCCTGAGCACGCCTTGGAAGGAAGGTTTCATCTAAAGCAGCATCCATGCTCACACACGGCCAGGTTGGGGGAGAGTCTAGGGGTGGGGTGGGGGTAGAAGCAGATGGGACAGAGAAACCCCTTGTAGCCCATCATCCTGTGTATAAAGCCCCCCACTCCGCCTTGCCCCATCTCTGCAGCTGAGCTGCTTGGCTGGAATGAAGACTCCAGCTGGAGAAATGGTCCTGGATGGCTAAGCACCTCCATCCAACTTTCCCAGCAATCGAACATGGGCAAACTGAGGGCCAGATTTGGCCCTTGGATGGGTTTCATTTGGCCATTCCAAATGATAATTTGGAATTGTTGTCAATCCTTAAAAATGATCAAAAAATTCATACGAAAGCAAAAATTGGATTTCTGGCTTGTCTAGAAAAATGAGATTGGAGAAGGCTGGGTCTGCGTCCCCTTCCGCCAAAGACAGGCTTGCAGGGACGGCAGGCCTGTCCACCAAGCATGCCCAGAATTCCCTGGCCTCCTCGCTGGCCCACTCCGCTTTGAGTTTGAGATCTTGGCCTATTCACTGCTGGATCCCAGATCCTCTGTGGTGCCTGGCACACGGGAGGTGCTAGGTAAATATTTGCCAAATGGTGAATGAGTGATGTTGCCTCCATCTGTTTGGCTTGGCCCTATACCCCACCCTTAAGGGCAACGTAGCTCCACAGACTGGCCAGTGCCCAGGCACAGTCTGCTGTGTCCTCCCAGCCAGGGGACTGGTGGGCAGGAGAAAAGAGTCCCACTGGCTTTCCCCAGAGGTCTCTGGGCCCTTCTCTTTCTCCCCATGTGGCCTAGGAGATGTACGAAATCCGAGCGACTGACCTGTAAGCTCGGGGAGGACTGGGGCGCTCGGGAGAGGGGTCCGCTCTACACGGAATTCTAAAATGAAACGTAAAACAGCTTAGGAAGAAGTATGGGAGGCCCCTCAGACATGGCCCAGGGAGGACAAATGTACCCACAGGGACACTAGGTGAGGGGACAGGCCATGCACAGGACCCAAGAGCTGAGGACGGGGAAAGAAAGTCCCCAGAAGGAAAGGGAGGGGAAGGAGACACAAAGAGGAGAAGCAGAGAGAGCAAAAGAACAGGTGGAGTTGCCACCTGAACCCTAGGCACAGGCAGTGCTGCCACTACAACCCTGGGTATTCCTTTAAAGGCTTAGGACTGGGGCTGGGGACATCTACCAAGAGGCAGAGTGCTGCCTAGCATGCACGGGCCCTGGGTTCAATCCCCAGCACCACCAAAAGAACAAAAAAGGCTTAGGATTGAACTAAAGACGCCTTCCAGAATCTTCTCTCTCCCCCTCTCTCTCACTTTTAATGAGGAGAGAGCTTCAGAGGCAGCTTAAAGAAAAACATTGGTTATAGAATAAGTCCTACTCCAGCTTGGGTCCATTTCCCAGCCATGCCACTTCCTAGTTATCATCTAAGCAGGTCACATTTCCTTTCCAAACCTGTTTCCTCATCTCTAAAATGGGTATAATCATCCCTCCCATGGAATTATTGGGAGGATTAGACAACATAATGTAAATAAAGGATTCCTAGTTAAACAATAGCCCAGGGGGCAGAGGATACAAGTGCTTAGGAACCTTTCAAATAAAAACAAGACCAAAACCGATTGGGGGTGTAGCTCAGTGGTAGACACTTGCCTCAGGTTCCATCCCCAGCACTGCAAAACTAAATAATAAATAAGTTGCCTTGTAAAAATTTGATGTTTAGGGGGTAGGGGTTTGGCCCAGCGGTAGACTGCTCGCTTAGCACTTGTGGGGTGCTGGGTTCAATCCTCAGCACCACATAAAAATAAAATTATTTTGTATCCAACTACAATTAAAGCAAAATATTTTTTTAAAAAAACCTGATATTTAATATTTCAGAGAAAACATATTGAATACTCATCATGGAACAGTCCAGAACTTTGTTGGGCTTCCTGATACTTTTTTAAGGTCTAGTCTATGTTGAAGGTGATTATAATGCTTTTGTTTCTTGGCATTTAGAGTCTCAAGAGGGCTTGTGTGACTTTGAAGGGCTCAGCATAGCACCTGGTCATTGTATTATGTCTGTGAAGGCGCAATTCACAATGACCCTTAGGGAGGGTGCTCCTACTGCCAATCTGGTGTCCTCTTTGGTGGAAGTGGCAACCCCAGAGTTGGGAGGGGAGGACAGAAGGTAGAAGGCAGGCAGAGAAGGGCCTGGGAGAGAACAGTACCATGCAGGGGCCACACCGGGAGCCCTTGTCCCCAGCTTTTGGGGAAAGGTCAGGGGAAAGGCCCTCCTTCATCAGACATGCCCTTCCTTCCAAGCCTCCAGCAGGCAGACGCCCAGCCATGCACCCCAGACACCACCCTGAGGAGTGAGACTGCCTGGGAACTGGGGACATGCTGGCCATAGAGGGACACCAAGCAGGACTTACCTGGGAACTGGTAGGTGTAGCCAGGGGCAAGGCCTGTATAACTCCGACTGGCATAGGTTGTGGCTTGGAAACCTGGGTAACCTGATGGGGCAAAGGGGCAGCGTCAGATGCCTTACCCACAGCTCAGACCCTGCTAGGACAGGAAGGATCTGAACCAATCACTTCCTCCTCCACCACCTCCTTATCATGAATAATCCTCAGTCCTGCTTTCCAAGTACCTTTGGAATGCCAAGTCCAGTGCTAAGCAGTGTATACTTAATGATCTCATTAAACCTCAAAAGGAAATAGTACATAACAAGTTGGTACTATTAATAGCCTCATTTTATTTATTTATTTATGTATTTGGTGCTGGGGATTGAACTCAGGGACACTTAACCACTGAGCCACATCCCAAGACCTTTTTATGTTGAGACAGGGTCTCGCTAAGTTGTTTAGGGCCCCCCTAAGTTGCTTATTTTGGCTTTGAACTTGCAATTCTCTTGCCTCAGCCTCATGGGTTGCTGGAATTACAGGCGTGCACCACCATGTCCAAACAACCTTATTTTGTAGACAAGGGAACTGAGGCTCAGAGAGGTAATATTTATTGGCCGAGAATATTCTAAACCCCTTATCAAAGCCCTTCATGGGGCTGGGGATGTGGCTCAAGCAGTAGTGCGCTTGCCTGGCATGCGTGCGGCCCGGGTTCAATCCTCAACACCACATACAAACAAAGATGTTGTGTCCACCGAAAACTAAAATAAATAAATAAATATTAAAAAAAAAAAAGCCCTTCATGCTCTGGCTCCTGCTTCCCTTTGTCCTCATGTCCTACACTCTGCTTCCCACTCCCTTGCTAAGTCACATTGGTTTCCTTGTTTCTTAAATCCAAGCTCATGCGCACACCAGGGCCTTTGCATAGGCTGTTGCCTCTGCGTGGAACACTCTTCCCCAGATGAATGCATGACTGAGTCCTCACTGGACAAGTCTCAAAGAGGTCCTCCCACAGGAGTCCTCCTTTCCTAGCAGTTACAATCTCTACATGTCACCCTGTTTTTTTCTCCTCTCATTCATTGTTTATTTATTTAGTTTGTTTTTTTTTTTTTTTTTAATAGTTTTTTAGTTGTAGATGGATACAATATCTTTATTTATTTATTTTTGTGTGGTGCTGAGGATCAAACCCAGTACCTCACCCCGGCAAGGCAAGTGCTCTACCACAGAGCCCCAGCCCCGGCCCCTAGTTTTTTTTTATGTGGCACTGGAGATTGAACCCAGTGCCTCACATGTGCTAGGCAAGCCCTGTACCACTGAGCCACAACCCCAGCCTGTTTTTCCCCCCTTTCATAGCACTGATGATCACTGTCTGAACTTATCTCATGATTTCTTCAAGACTTGGTTTTCTGTTAAGAAAATCAAGGAAGATCCTATAGTTAGTAATAATGGTAAAGCTGGGATTCAAATTCAGATGTGACTGGCTCCAATACTCCTAACCAATCTCACTTCTTATTAGACATTTTCTTTTTAAATGAGGGTGAAATCAGATCAAGAATTACTCAAGCCGGGTGGGGGTGGCGCACGCCTGTAATCCCAGAAGCTCAGGAGGCTAAGATGGGAAAATCGTGAGTTCAAAGCCAGCCTCTTGGGGCTGGGATTGTGGCTCAGCAGTAGAGCACTCGCCTAGCATGGGCGGGACCCGGGTTCGATCCTCAGCACCACATAAAAATAAAGGCATTGTATTGTGTCCATCTACACCTAAAAAAATAAATATTAAAAAAAAAGCCAGCCTGTTCAACTTATTGAGATCTTAAGTAACTCAGGGAGACTCTGTCTCTAAATAAAATACAAAAATAGGGGGCTAGGGCTGTGGCTCAGTGGCAGAGCACTCACCTATCACGTGCGAGGCCCTGGGCTTGATCCTCAGTACCACATAAAAATAAATAAAATAAAGGTATTGTATCCAACTACAACTAAAAAATAAATGTTTTAAAAAAATACAAAAATAAGGCTGGGGATGTGGCTCAGTGGTTTAGTGCCCCTGAGTTCAATCCCCAGTACCAAAAAAAAAAAAAAAAAAAAAAAAAAAAAAATCCTTAAGGTACAAGATCAAAGGCGGCTAAACAGACAAGACAACTAAATTTAAAATCTGATTCTAGCCCAGTTGTTGTTCTGGGGAACAAAAGTAAGTATGTTATAAAGACCATCATTGGCTGGGTGTGGTGGTACACACCTGTAATCTTAGTGAGAGTGTGAGGCAGGAGGATCACAAGTTTGAGGCCCTTAGCAACTCAGCAAAAATTAAAAAAATAAAAAAGGAGTGGATGTAGCTGAATGGTAAAGTGTCGCAAAGTTCGATGCCCAGTACGAGGGGTGTTATTGATAATATTAAAAAACAGAAGATAGATTCGATGAAATTTTTTCCCCTCAGTGAAAAACCCAGGACCTTGTACAGGCTAGGCAAGTGCTCTACCACGGAGCCACATCCCAGTGCTAAATGAAAATAACTGCATCAATATAAATTTGTGAAGTTGACAAGCATACTGTGGTTATAGGAAAGATTATCTCTAATCTTAAGGAAACAGGTAAATAGGTCATATGGGTGATTTACCCTTGAATGATTTAGGAAAATATCCCATGGGTATGTATATGCATACATGTAAATGCATACACACAGCATGAGAACGATAAAGCAAAGGGATCGAATATCAACAGGCAAATCTGATACAATAGTATATGGATGTTCTTTTATGTTATTCTATTATTCGCCACTCTTCAGAGAGTTTGGAATTACTTCTTCAAGAAGACTGTGTTGGGCTGCAGTTGTGGCTCAGTAGCAGAGCACTTGCCTAGCACACGTGAGACACTGGGTTCGATCCTTAGCACCACATAAAAATAAATAAAAGATGTTGTGTCCAATTACAACTAAAAAAATAGACATTTTAAAAAAATAAAGGTATTGTGTCTATCTACTAAAAAAAAATATAAAAGAAAAAGAAAAAGAAGACTACATCCTGTTTGGAGGGTGCTCTTGTCCACACCTCTCCTGTGATCACAATGCTGACCCTCTAGCCCTGCTAGGCCCCCCAGCTTCTGAAGTCTCAGAGCACCTCTCTGTGTACCCCTCCCCCATAGCAGGCATAAAGACCCCCTTGAACAATCCTCTTCCTATGTGTATACATCTTTACAGGGAAACGGTGAGCTTTCTCAAATTTGCCACCCAAATTTACCTGGGCCCAAACTGTGACTGCCACCTCAACTTTCAAGGCTCAAGGCACCCTTCACTCCCTCCAGGGAGCCCCCCTACTCCCATGTGGGTCTAGGTACCTCCCTTGGGCCTCTCACAGTCCCCAAACATTCCGTGATGACAGTGTTCACTTACTCTTATCTCACTAAAAGGGGAACCCCATGAGGGCAGGTCCTGACCCTGAAAAGCTAAATGAAATAAATTTTTGCAATGAACAATTATACTGTGATTATATTAAAAAAATATCTTGGAGCCAGGTGCAGTGGTGCACATCTGTAATCCCAGTGGCTTGGGAGGCTGAGGCAGGAAGATCGCAAATTCAAAGATAGTCTCAGCAAAAGTGAGGAGCTAAGCAGCTCAGTGAGACCCTGTCTCTAAATAAAATACAAAACAGGGCTGGGGATGTGGCTCAGTGGTTGAGTGCCCCTGAGTTCAACCCCTGGTATCCTTCCTCTAAAATCTTGGGGCTGGAGTTGTAGCTCAGTGGTAAAGCACTTGCCTAGCACTTGTGAGGCACTGGGTTTGATCCTTAGCACCACTTAAAAATAAATAAAATAGGGGCTGGGGTTGCAGCTCAGTGGTAGAGCGCTTGCCTAGCATGTGTAAGGCACTGGGTTCAATTCTCAGCACCACATATAAATAAATAAAATAAAGGTCCATTGACAACTAAAACATTTTAAATTTGAATAAGAGGAGGCAGCCTTCCTTTTGCCTTCCAAGAGGCCTTAGCCAAGTGCTGTTTCCTCTGGAATACTTTTCCATTCTCTTTGCGCCTGCCCTCCCATAACTGGCTTCTACTCAACCTGCAGAATCAGTGTAAATAGTACGTATTTTCCATTTTTTCCAAGTCTTGGTCAAGTTCCCCATGCCAATGCTCCCTTGGCATCCTGTATTCCACCCTAAATCTATTTGTCTTCTTTCTCACTTGTCTGCCCTGACAGACCATAAAGCTGAGGAAAGTCAAGGCTGGGATTCCTGGAAGGCTGCCTGGCCCATGCAGGTGCTCGGCACCTATTTACTGAATAGATGGATGGATGGACAGAGGACCAATCAATAGAGAGCAGCTGGACCATTCTTCTGGCTACCACGAGAGGGCAGCACTCCACAACAAAACCATCCCACCCTGGGTAGGACTGCCAGCCCTGACCGAGATGCCTGGCCTCCACTGCCGCCCAGTGACTCAGACAGGAGGGCAGACCACAGAAGAGATGCAACACCCACGCAGCCCCTGGAAGTCCCAGGAGTAGTTCCGGGTAGGAAGAAGCCGCAGGTGCAGGCCTAGCTCGTACCCAGCATGCCGATTCCCAGCATAAAGGCGTCCATTCCATAGGGCATGACTCGAGACCGGCCCCGGGCTGAGCCCGTCGGCGACATCACCTCCTTTGGCTGAGCTTTCTTACATTCCACCTGCAACAAGACCTGATGGTCAATTCTTTCTCCAGCTAGGGTCGCCATCCCTCTGAGTCCCCGCCAGGCCTTTTTATTATTAATTTCATAGTTACCATTTATGGAGCACGCATTGTGCAAGGCCCTGCATAAAAGGCTCTGCATGCCGTAGTCACTGAATTTTTGCACTAAGTCTATGATGGAGGTGCTGCTATGGCTCCCATTTTACAGATGAAGAAACTGAGGCTCGAAGAGGAACCCAGTTAATCACTGACACTGCCTCCCTGTCTAGATTTCCAAGAGGTGAGAGAACCAGCTCTGCCCTGCTCATTGTAACACCTCCTCACACCCCCACACCCCACCTCTGGTACCCCGGGGCTTCCCTGGATGGCTTACCATTTTGTTGTTGATTTCATGGAAGTGGATTTCACACACTTTTTCCACGATGTCCTCGCTTTCGAATGTGACAAACCCAAACCCTAGAGGTTGGACAAGGGGCAAGGGCAGGGTCAGAACCAGGGCTCATGGTCAAAACCCAGCCCCAGGCCATCCCCATACCACATCTCCTCCTGTGGCCAAGTGTCTGAGAGTTAATGAAAGGCTCTGCCCACAGCCTAGGATACTCTCAACTACCGGCTGAGACAGGGTATCAAGTCCCAAATTACAGACGAGCAAACCAAGGCTCAGTGAGGTAAAGTAACCTGCCCAAGGTCACACAGCAAGTTCGAAAATGGCAAAGCTGCCAAGAGAATGTAATTGTCCCTCAAAATCGGAGGGGGATTAGTTCCAGGATGCCTCGCAGGCCCCCAAATCCGTGCTATGCTCAAGTCCCTTAAAAAAGGCCAGTATTTACGTAGAACCTATGTACAGCCTCTCTTATACTTTAAATCATTTCTAGATTACTTCTGATTCCTGATTCAACGTGAATGCTACGCACAGAGCTGTTATACCGCACAGCTGAGGGTACAACGGCAAGGAAAAAAAAGGTTTGCACAGGCTTAGTACAGATAGCATTTTTTTTTCTGAATATTTTTGATCCACAGTTGATTGAATCCAAAAACACAGAATGCACAGATACAGAGGACCATGTACACTTAACTTGCCTTCTCTCTGTCCCTCAGATGCTTACCAAAGAGGGGGAAAAAGAACATCCATGGACAAACTTACACAAAGGTGCACATGCCCGAACATACTTCTGTACACAGACACACACACACCCCCCCTAGGCGCCCATCCCAAAGATACCCGTGGGCTCTCTATAACGTACTATTGCCCCAACATACCAGACATACATACATATTCAGGCATGCACACGTGCCTGAGCATGCGTGCTGCACACACATGGCCCCCAAAAAACGAAAAGGCCCAAAGCCCTGAATCAACTGGAGAAACTACCCTGTCTCCTCCTGAGCGTGCCCCAGGGGCTACTGTGGAATTTCTCAGAAGGCCCCTAAGATCGGCGGCGGACAGGCCGATCACAGAGTGTGGCCCAGATGCTCACAGGTTCAGGGCCAAAGGAGTTGGGGGCAGTGGCACAGCAGACTCCCTGGGGCTCTGGAGTCAGTGTGACCCTGGGGCAACCTGGCCTAAGCTCTGGTTACCAGGAACAAGGTAAGCCTGGGCAGAGGCAGACACTGGCTGGGGCGGGGGTGGAGGGCGCCATTGGTGGGAAGCCCGTCCTCTGTCTGCAATTCCAATTCGGCCAGTTTTCTAGCACAGGAAACTAGTGGGACAAAAGCCTTCTGTAAGGCCAGGCCCGGGAGAGGATGCAGATCCTCAGGGATAGGATGTCAGGAGAGGAGATGAAAGGGCAGCTGTGACCTGCAGCCCCCTTGGCTGACCACAGGCCCCAGGCCCAGCCTGGGAAGGGGGAGGGGCACACTCACCTCGGTGCCGGTTGGTGGTTTTGTCGAACATCAGCATGGCATCATCCACCTAAAACACAGCCTGCCATGGAGGACCCACCAGACACCAGGGGCTCCCACGACCCGCTCCCCTCTTGCCCCTGCCAGGCTTTCCCTTAAGCCTGTTCCCAGTTCAGGGGATAACTTTCCATCTGCGACCCCACTGGACACCACAGAACCCCCTAGTTAAGTCACCAGATTCTCAATGGATCAATCAGCCTACATTTATCGAGTTCCAAAGAGGTGCCCAGCACTTTAACCATCATCCTAACACTTCCTGGAGGGGGAAATCCCCATTGTGTCAAGAAATGGGCTCAGAGAGGGGAAGTTGCCTCCCAAGGTTACACAGCAAGTCCTGGAGGGAGGCGGCGGCACAGGGCTGTACTAGAGGAGAAAATATGGGAGCAAGATTAGGAGATGCTTTAAGAAAACCTCTTCTTCTTTTTTTTTTGCAAAAGGCCAGGCGGACAGGACAACAGACAGACTAGACTCCCCTCTCCCGGTACAGATCTTTTCTCTAATTGAGGTTTCCTTTAGCTAGAGGCTGTAATTAAAGCAAGTGGAGTTCAGTGCCTGGACAGCTTGCCTCCCACTGTCTGGGGGAGGGGAAAGGACTGAGGAAGGGGGAGGGTCTACATTCGCTACCCTCTCTAGAACCCCAGTCATCTCTCCTCTTGCTTCTCCAGCCAGAGGATGTCCCACCTTCTTCCCTGTGCCTGGATCTGTTGTCCCCTCTTCACTAGGACTGAGTCACCCTCAGTGGAAATCAGGGGCTGCCTCTGATCCTCCCCAGTCCCATCCACTCCAGCCCCTGATCCTCGCACAAATGGTCTGCCATTCGCAGGGTGAGGGTAAACTTTCAGGCCACAGGGCACAGGGTACAGGCTCTCTCCCCCTCCTTTCTTCTACTTCCAGACCCTACCTGCCTTATCAGGGGCCTCCCCTGCCTCATTAAAGTAGAAAGTGCAAACCTTGGAGGTGCTCCTCCAGCTCTCCCTAGGTATCAAGGCTGCTTAACCAGGAGACAGAGGGGTTCCTGGAGAATCTCAGAATGAAATGACACCTCCCTTCCCAAGGGGCTTCCTATCCCCAGAACCCTACAGCAGAGTACTAACCCTGCCACCCCAATTCTGGGTCCCTATCCCAAATCAGCTGGACAGACACTTCAGGCTCTACACATCTTCCCCATCCCTCACTTAAGCAATGGAAAAGAGAAACCCAGACAGAAGGGTTTTGATCAAAGCACAGGCTTTAAGTAGGACAGGCCTAAACTGGAATCCTGGATCCTGGATTTGCTGATTCGGTAACCTTGGGCAAGTGGCTTTAGGACCCCATGACTTTGGTTCCTCATCTGTGAAATGGGCATAGGAAGGAGTTAAATGAGATAGTGCACATAACTCTTAACTCACAGCCCTTGGGATTCAGTAAGTGCTGAATAAATAACAACTGCTGTTATTATCTTTATTATGGAGGAACTTGCCCACGGTCACATGGGGGAAGGTGGCAAAACTAGAGGGAGCAGCAGCCCAACACCCTAGCTGGAAGGTTCCACCAGGACAGTGGGTCATCTGTGACCACGATCACCATTCTACTGAGCACCTTGACTTGTGCTCAATTAATTATTTTTTTGAATGGGGAGTGAATGAACCGAAGAACCAGCCACACCTTCCTCCTTAATCCTACAGCTTGGAGTTCTTGCCTGGTCCACAGACTGATTCAGGCCAAATCCACAGTCCTTCCGGCCTTCTTCTTCCCCATGACCGTCCCAGTCAACCTCCCTGGTGCCCCACAACCTTCAACCTGGGCCTTGGCGGGACAGACCTCCGATGGGGCACTGGGGTTGAGGCCGGGGCAAGGGGCAAGGGGCAAGGGGCAAGGAGAGTGGCTGGGGGTCCAGGGTAACCCACAGCGGTGTCCCCTCCTGGGGCCAGCGGAGGGGAGGGAGGCTCCCAGCCCAGTGTCCTTAATAGGCTTTGGTCTCCATGGGAACCCGGGGGCAGGGGGGCTCGGGCGCGGGGGGGGGGGGGGGGGGGGGGGGGGGGGGAGGCGACCGAAGCCTGCTGACCAGTGGGAGCCGCCAAGTTCGGCGGCCGCTAAGCCTGAGTGGCAGCCATGGCGGCTGACCATTGTTCCCCCCTCGGCGGCGGGCCCCTCGGTCCGGGCGGGGGGCCCCCCGCCGCGGGGCCCTTGGCATTCCCGGCTGTCCCCCTCGCTCCCTGGCAGCCTATTCTCCGGCTCCCCCTGGCCTCCCCGGGCCGGTTTCACATGCCAACGCCGATTTAGGCCCGAACAAAAGACGCGGCCGCTGACGGCTTCTCCTGGGGCCCGGTTGCCATGGCAACGCCGGCCCCGGGGGCAGGCGGCCTCCAATCACAGCTGCTGGATCAGATTAGTGCGAGCTCTAATGCTCGGCGCTCAGACACAAAGACACCCCGCCGAAGCCGAGCCGGGCCTGCTGCTTCCCAGGAGCGCCCTTCCCTCTGGGGCCCAGGCCCAGCCTGCCCAGCCTCCTGGACCCAGGTCCCCAAGGAGGTGTGCCTGAGCCGAGGCCTCTGCCCGCTCCCCCCCCCCCCCCCACACACACACACGTCAGCATCCGCTGGCCAGGGGACCCCCCCAACCAGCCACACAAGCTTACAGCCTATTTCTCTAGCCACCTCCAGCTGGGCCTGCTGGGAACCAAATGCCTTGCTGGGAAAGTGGAGACCCAGCCTCTAGCCGCCCTCACTCACCTAAAAGAAATACCAGGGACCTGGGTCTCAAGCCACCACCGCTGGGACTTGGGTCCCTCTCTCCATCTCACCATAGGACCCTGAAGTTCACATTGCTCACCTTCCTAGGGACACCCTATTGTCTGACATGGCCACACACCGCGTATCTTCCCATAGCCTACCTCTTCATAGGCCCAGAAAGGAAAGCTTGATATGACCCAGAAGTGAGCGCACGTTCTCTGGGCCAGATCAGAATTTGGGGGTGCTTTCTTCAGTTTCCTCCAATACCTAGCAGCCCCTCAGCTCCTGCTCCCAGCTTCCCACCTGGGCCAGCAAGGTACCAAGTGCAATGGGGAGTCATATTTATTGCCTCCTTATCATCCCCCAGGAGGGGGTTGGGGGATGGTGACAACCGCCCTTGGCCTGGACAGGTGCAAACTCCCAAGAGGCTAAGGGGTGACTGGATTGAACTGGCTACAGGAGCACCGCCTCCCTCAGGAGAAAGAAGATAAGCAGGAGAAAAATACAGAAGGAAGGGCAACAACAGGGCCGCTACTGTGTGGCTTCCGCTCCCAGGGGATGTCAAGAGTCAGAAGCCCATAGATGGGCCAGGAGCCCGAAAGCTGAGTTGACCTGGCCTCACCTGCAGGACACAACTTCCCCTACACCTTCTGCAGGAATTGGGATGACCTGGCTGACCCCACTGGCTCCTGACCACTCTCTTAGCATTCTCAGCCCCAGCAAGCACCCACCCCCATTTAAGACCCACCTTCCCGAACTGTTCAAAATATTGCTTCACATCCTCCACTGTGGTGTTCACTGACAGTCCCCCCACAAAGATCTTCTTCGTTCGAGTCACCATCTGTTAGGGGAGGGAAGGAGAAAGTGGGCATCTGAGGCCTGTGGCCTACCGCCACCAGCAGGGGCTCCAGCCCCCCTGCCAGGTTGCCAGCTGACAAGCTCTCTGTGGCCCCAGCCTCTCAGAAGGCCTCCCCAAGCTCCTCCTAACCCCCACCTCTAGGCCTGTCACACCCTAACTTCTTAAGTGTGTCTCCCTCCCTGGGGTCTGTATCTGGAAAAATCCTTTCCCAAAGGACTCACACAGGGAAAGGGGGTGGGTCAATGACCCAGACCCACAGCCTAGCTCCAAAACCCCACCAGCCCTCCTGGGAGACCACCAAGGCCATCGCAGGGTCTCCCTGAACTTAACTCCGACATTTTCCTCATCAACCTCTTCCCTGCCCAACCTCTGGCAGCCCCGTGGCCCCAGCCCTGTTTTAGGAAGAACACATGGTCCTAATTACCCCAGGAGCGCATGGCTAATCCGCGGCAATTCCCAGCCCCATCCTAACACTAAAGCACCTTCTGTCACCAAACTGCTTAATGGAATTAACCCAATTCCGACCATGTGCTCCCTGGTGCGGCTTCCTTCGAATACCTGCTCCATAATTGCTTTCAGGCCCTCTGCTGGACCTTTTCCAGAGATGCCCCCTTCCTGTCTCCTAAAACAGTTCCTCTCCCACTACCCTGGCAGGAGCTCTGGGAACCTTGGTGGAATTCACAGGCTACAGTCAAAAAGCATCCTGGTTTCCACCAACTTCTGATAAAAGGGGAAACCGAGATCTCTTGGAGAGGTACCCAGTCCTAGGACACATGCTGAGTCAACAAACTCAGGGGTCCTGACTCCCTATAAGTTAGCCTTTCCTCCTGTCTTCTATAGGGGACGACTTAAGAATTAAGAACTGGAAAGTTGCCAGGAGGCCTAGACTCAAATCTGAGGCTCCTGCCCTGCACCAAAAGTTTTAAGTGCTCCAGTGCCCAACTTCTCAGAAATCCATTTTCTGTATGCACTGCCCCTCTCTCCAAAACACCAGGGAAAGATATCTAAATGGAAAGACAACAGGTGACAGACCTCCTGGTTCCCCTCCCCTTCTACAAGTCCAACACACCTCATTCCAGAGCTTGGAAGGTGACTTGCAGGGGGTCAGAGGTATGCTCCCTGGCCCAACTCTAGCTCAGCTTCAGAGGCAGGGCAAGTCTGCCCTGTGTTTGATCTGCCAAGGTTCTGGGCAAGGAGGCTGTGACCTATGAGGTCAGAATTAGACTTGGGGTCCAAACTGCACTGACTTCAAATATAGGGACAAAGAATTCCCTGAACAGTTCCCCTTTCTTCCCACACATGCAGCCCCCTCTCCAGAGCAGATGGGAAGATGCATACTGTCTTCATTCCACAGAATAAGGACATCAGGAATCCCCTCTTCACACCTCCGCCTATCCTGAAACACTCCAGAGGTTCTAGAAGCATCTGCCACAAAATAGAATGCTGGGGAAATCCCTATCCAGAGTTGCCCTCAGTGACAGCGCTCCTCCCAGCCACCAACACACACCTACCTTAGGCTGTGCTCGCCGAGGAAAGGCCACCTTGGGGTCAATCTAAAAGAGAAGGGAAAGGTAGAAAGGGTCTTGCTTATCACACCTCAGATTGTGACAATTACAGCCTTAAGCAGTGAGGACCTCTCTCATCTCAGGACACAGAGGTGACAGAAACCACCAGAGTCTCAGGCAGGAAAGCACAGTTGTTAAGCGTGAGTTCAAATCTCACACTGCTTCCCTACTATAAGACCTTGGGCATGTTATTTAACCTCTCAGAGCCTTAGGGTCACCTGCAAAATGGACAAATAATAATACCCACCTCAAAGGGTCATTTGCAGATTTTTTGAGATAAAGCATACAAAGCACTTGGTGTGGTGTCTAGCTCACAGCAAGAATCAAAAATAATGCAAACCAAGTCTTATTCCCTCAAGCATCAGGTATATTGAGGGCCCTCCTTGCTAACCTGACTTCACACAGATACCTGTCAAGGTAAGATATGTGATTCTGACTTTGGAAATCTAGCAAATAGAAATACTCTTTGCCTGAAAAAGTCTACAAGATGAGAGTTCATAACTGCCAAGAATAGACTCAGTTATTTTCTCCAATACCTCTAGTCTCTAACAGCCCTCTTAGAGGCTGCAAGAAAACAGCTCCTGATAATGCAGCCAGGCTCAGGGTGAGGCAGAGTGCAGTCTTTGGTGACATGAAAGGGCATGGGACTTGGACTTAGAAACTTTGGGCTGCTTGCCAAGCCTGTGATCTTGGTAACTTGCTTGCCCTTCTGAGCCTCAGTTCCTTCATCCGCAAAGTGGGGACAATCACACCCATACTTCCCAGGGGCAGCTGTAGGGAATCAAATGAGATAACATGGGTGAAAGCAGCCTTTTGTGAACTGCCCTTCATTGCACAAACAAAGGTGCTATTACTAGGAGGCCACCTTTGCCCTCTGCTGTGAACAGAGGGAAAAATCAAGATGCACCTGGGTACTCCTGGATACTCCAGCCATGCTGACAAACAGCGAGAGACCAGGGCAGGAGCCATTATGACTGATGCAGGACCTATGAGGCCAGGTCTTGCTAGAGTTTCTTGCCACCCGCATGGGTGGACATCATGCAGAAGTTCAGCAGCCAATCTCAGAGAAGATCTATCTTTCCCCAAAGTTCCTTCTTTCAAAACTCAGCCTCATTCTAGGCAACTGGCTCTGGCTTCCCTCTGCCTGAATAACACAGACCAGGAACCAGCATCCTGCAGGCTCTCCCACTGGAATCTGCCCAAAGAGATGGAACCTCCACAGTGCACACTAGGCAATGCCTTCTCTCTTGCAAAGGCCCACTGGGCTCTAGGGAAAATCCAAGCTTCCCATTGCTGTCGTGGATTTCATATATCTGTAGCATTTTCATCCTTCTATTTCTCCCAGAGCACAGCCTCTCTAGCCACTCACACACTTTCATAAGTTCCCCTGCACAGATCCTGATGGAGAGACAGTACCCAAGACCCACTCCCCCAGACCCACGCACACCCAATCCCTGACACACCCCACCTCCACTCTGACTCACAGCTGGCAACATAAATAAAACCCAACAAGTAAATAAAAGGTGAAAGTCAGAACCCAAAATAGACTCCCCACAGTAAACCTCCCTCCCATCCCCTTCCCCAGCCCAGAGATGCCAAACACAGACAAAGCCCTTGCCCTTGATGAGTCCCAATCTCCTAAGGATACCCATCTCACCATCCTTCCTCCCTGTCTCTCTCTTCACCCTTATCAATCTTCCACTCCTCCAGCCCCCAGCCCCAGCCCCAGCCCCTAAATCTCAGCTTCCTGAGTGCAGCAGAAGCCACCAGTGCATTCTGAGGACAGGGGATGGTAGGAGAACAGGCAGCTTGATGGCAGATAATCACCAAAAACAATAGGCCACTGTCTCTCCTTTCCCAGCCTGGGTCACTCAGGCTTCGCCAAGAAGATCCTTTCAGAGCCGGCAAAGTCGAGGCCTGGCCTCATTTGCTCATTACTGTGAGCAGGAGTGGGAGCCACTGGGCAGAGATAACAGGATCTGGGGACAGGCGGTAATTTAACAAATTCTTGGGCACAACCAGCCATTGTTGCAGGTAAACAGGAGCCAGTGACTGACCCAAGCAGGGAGGCCCAGGGACAGGGGGAGAGTGGGGGAGTGTGGAGAGAGGAGATCACACTGTCCCAGCCCCCTGGCAGACAGACACCCCCATCACCCAGTAAGCCCTCCTCTGATTTTCTCCTTTTCCCTCTCCCCTTGAGCTGGCCTCCGTCAGCGCCCCCTGCAGGGTCCAAGACACTGGGGATCAGTGGGACAGCAGCAAAATGTTCCAGGAGTTTGAATGCCAAACAAACAGTTCCTCCTAAGATCAAGTCTTGAGAAGGTTTTTCTTTCTTTCTTTTCCTCCCCCAATCAAGCTAGCTAGCTCCCTCCTCATAAATCCCCTTCATGGTCAAAGCAGGTCCGTGTCTTCTACACAAAGCAAGGAGCTCATTGACCAAAAGTCGGGGGAGGAGAGAAAAGAGGAGGGAGAGGGACTCAGTGACGCTTTGCCATTGGTCTGGAAGGGAAGGGGGGTGTCTCGGAGCCAAATACTAGTTAGAGTTCAGAGAAGCCACCGGGTGGGTCATTGCAACCCTGACTCACCCAATTTGGGCTAGGGGTGGGACCCAGCCCCACCCCAAGCTCTGAGGCATGGAGATTAGTACTTATAGGGAGGGGGTGGTGGCTACTGCTTCCCTCACCAATACGGGGGGTGGGGGGGGGGGGGGGGGGGGGGCGTCCCCCCCCCGGCCGGGGGGGGGGGGGGGGGGGGGGGGGGAGGAGGTGTAGCATCTCACCGCAGGCCTGGGATTTTTCTACTCCCTCTGCCCCCAACTCCAGTGACAAAGTTTCAGAGCATGGCAGACCTCTTACTCAGAAAACTCCCACTTTCCTCAAGGACCTCGTCCAACTGTCCCCTGGAGAGAGTCCTGACCCTCTCCTCCGGCAGCCTCCCTCTCCCAAAGGACCCCCGAAGCCCCGAGGGCCACTCACTGTTTTGGAGTCGAGCTCGTGCCGCGATTGCGCCAGCACTTTATCCACCCCCGCCTGGTCCATGAAAGTGACGAAGCCGAAACCCCTGCGCGGCGTAGTGAGGGAGAGGCAGATGGTTACAAGGCAGTGAGTGGCAGTGGTGGAGGGGGGTGAGCCGAGAGCAGGAGGAGGGGGTGAGGGGCTCACCTGGATCTCTTCGTCAGGGGGTCCCGCATCACCAGACACTCCTTCACCTCCCCGAACTGGCCGAAGTATTCGCGCAGCCCTTCTGTAACCACACACCCGCCTTCGGACCAACCCGGGCCCCGCGCCCTTCCCCCCTCCCCCGTCCTTTGCCCCCGTTGACCCCGGCGCAGCCCGGTCGCCCCCGTGCCAAGCTGCCGGCGCGCTCTCCATTGCCGGCACCCCCTCCCGCCCTCGCCCGGCTCTCGTGCAGCCTGGTGGCGCCCACCGGGGCCCCGGGAAGCCAAGGGCCAAGCTGGGCTGGAGGGGGGACGGCTCCGGCCGTGTTCCCGCCGCTCCGGGAGCCGCCTCACAAAAGTTTGAGCCGCAGGTGCGAGCGGAGTTGGCGCAGCCGCCGGCGGGTCCCGGGGGCCCGGCCCAGCCCCCGATGCCCCCTGAACCCCTCAACTGCTCCCCATCACCCGCTGGGCCGTGCGCGCTAGCAGATAGCCCTGCGCTCTCGGGGTCCCCGGGCGGGGCGCGAAAGAGGGCACGAGGGCGCCTGGGGTCAGCAGGGCGCAGGGCCGGGCTGGGGTGTCTGGGTCTGGGGCGCCGTGGGGGTCCGGGGTGTTCTGCGGGGCCGGTAGGCGCTCCTGGGCTGGCTCACCCTGCGTAGTCTGCCAACTGAGTCCCCCGATGAACATCTTGCTGCGGGAGGAGAGACACAAAGGGCCCGCGTGAGCGCCTGGCGCCGGGGCGCAGGGGGCGCGGGCCCGGGCCCCGGGGAGGCCCGGCCCGACCCGGATCGGCCATGTTGGCGGGGCTGGGGCGGGCGCGGGCCGGGCAGGCCCGACCGGGCTGGGCCGGGCCGTACCAGGGGTCGTGCGGCGAGTCCGGGGAGGCGAGGCCGGGCTGGGGCGCGTCAGTCTCCATCGGAAGCCGCGGGCGGCGCGGGCAGCGGAGCGGCGGCGGCGGCGGCGGCGGCGGCGCTCGGCGCGGGGCAGATGAGGAGCGCGGCGAAGGGGGCCGGACGGACAGGCCATGCTGCCCCCTCCCCCGACCCCGCTCGGGCGGGCGGGCGGGGACGGCCGAGGGGAGGGCCCGCCGGGGGCCGACCTGCCGGCTCCTCCCCCCGCCGCCCTGCGCGCATAAAGCCCCGCGCTCGCCCGCGCGCCCGGGCGCCCGCGGAGGCGGCGGCGCCGGGACCCCCTTCCCGCCGGGCTCCCGGGTCCCCCGGGATGAGAGAGACCCCGAATCCTGGTGCGGGCCGGGACCAGGGCGCGGCCGCACCCCCCACCCACACCAGCGCGGGGGCCGGGCCGCGGGAACGCCCTCCCGGAATGAAGCGCTTCCCGGTGCCTTCAAGGTAGCTCGGCTCCGGATCGGGACCCCCCCCCCCCAGTTCTCCCTCTCAGGTCCCCTCTGTCCAGAATTGAAGAGAGCTCCCCAATCTCCCTGGGTCGGGGAGGAGATAGCCCCAGTGGCCCCAAATCCCCACCCACTCTAACTGGAGAGAATCCTTCTTTACAGTCGGAGCAAGAATCTGCCCTGGAGCCCCCGATTTCTTCTAATCTAATTTAGAGTCCCCCTTCAGCGGCTCTCAGCCCATTCCCATTATCCCATATCGAATTTGGAGAACCCCCTGTGTGCCTCGCGTCCCGAGTGGGAAGCTTCCATCAGCATCCCGGTAGAAACGATATCAGTTTCTCCCCAACCTTCCTTGACCCTTGATGCCCAGAGTAAGAATCCCACTCAACTCCCCCAAATCCCTCTCTCCGCTCTGTGGCTCGGGTAGTCTGCTGAGCAAATCCTCCGCCCCAAGCCTGGGTTCCCATTTTGCCGCCACCCCACCCCCAGTGTGAGGAGTCTCTGCTGCTTCTCTCCCTGGTTCGCTCTTGTCAGCCCCATTCAGACTCCTGTCTGGATTCAGGAGACCGGGTGCCAGACGCTCAGCGCCCGCTCCCCACCGAGGCACGGGGAGAAAAGTCAGTTCCTCCGGTGTCCAGTTTAGGAGTCCGATGGCGCAGCGGTGCACCTTACCCCCAAAACATCCACTCTTTTGCAGAGTTCTAGCTCCACCCACTCCCGTTGGAAGAACCTGAACTACCTACCCCACGACGTTTGGAGTTACTTCCCTCGGTCGGTCTCATTTTGAGACTAGAGCAAACTCCTTCCTCCTCACTCCCATCTTCAGGGTCTCAGGGATCCCCCAATGCTTTCACCCAAGCCACCTCACCCACTCCAAAATCTTCCTCCCTCCAGCCTGGGAGCAACTTTGAGAAAGTCCATTCTGGATTGCCATGGAAGCCAGAGGCCATTCTGCTCCTGGTAACTCCCTGCATATCTGAGCCTATCTCTCACTTCCCTGGCTGAAACCAACTAAGGCAGGGTCAAAGCAGGAGGCTAAGGCAACTAACATCCACGCCCATTCCTTTCTCGGCTGGGGGTTTCGGTGCCACAAAAGCCTCTCCCTCCCAACTCACCTCCCATTCCTTCCCATCTCCCTTCCTTTAAATCCACCCAGTATAACTCAGTGTCACCCTTAGTGACAAGCCCTTTGCTGCTCACCTTCACATCCATCCTGTATTCAGCTACCTTTTATTAAGGTGTGCCAGGGCTCTAGCACCGTAACCTTGCTCCCTAGAAGTGTGCCCATCCCCCTCCTCTTAGCACACTTTCCCTCTCCCCACCCCACCACCACACATTTAAGAATGTGAGAGACTCACGTTAATGGTTTCCTTGGGGGACCTTCTGCAGTGCTCAGCAGGTGTATCCTGGCACCCTGTGCATATAACACTACAAACAAACTTGCCTTTTCCTGTTTGTATTCCCCTAACCTTTCCCAGTTTCTCAGCATCCTCTGGACTGGGGGGAAGGGAACGGAGCATTTCTCAGCATCTCCACACAAGCTGGAACATCAGGTGTGTCCTGGGAGAGACACAGATGAGGGTCAGCAGGTGGCACCCCCAGTGTTAGGGAACTGACTGCTCCTAGGACTGAACTTCAGGTTCTTTCAGGAGAGATGCCCAGAGGGCAGAGCGCCACTCCTTGAGATTGATTTGTGTGCTGGTGCTGTTGGCTGGTGGCTTGGAGGATAGGAAATGGATAAGGGTCATTTGTTCAAAGCCAGCCAAGACTGTTTAAGAAGCAGCTTGAGCTAGGATCCATTTATTAGCATCCTCATTCAAGACTTCAGAGGAGGAAGCATTTACTTCCTTTTGTCAATAACCTGGTTTGTAGGACGGAACAGGTGGGTGGACTTAAGAGAAGTCTCCTCCCACCTGTGGGTTTATCTCCATCTAGCAGCTCCAGTCCACTTTGTTCGCAGTGGAGGCAACAAATCCTTGGGTGTGTGTGTGGGGGGGGGGGGGCTCACAGGACAGTAAAGCTATAAATACTTGATCCTCATAGTAAATGGAGGATCTCAGCAGTATCAAGGGAAAATGATCCAAAAAGCAAGTGGCCCAGACTCCAGAATTAGGAAAGCATCACTCAGAAAATAAAAGAATGATTTGCTTCATAAATTTTGTAAATCTTCTTGAAAAAGACAGTGAAGAAATGATATTATACTCAAGCACTGAGATGATGTAACTTGGCACAAATATCTATTGTCTACCTTTTGCGTTCCAGTACTGTCTTAAGTGCTATATTTCCAGCCCCTACTCTACAAAACTTAATTTCTAGAGACAAGAGTCAGAAAAATAAGGGTCACTAGTAGAGCATTTCCTAGAATGCATGGGAGGGGCAAAGAAATAAATAGTAGCTTTATTAAGTACTTTGGAGAAGGGAGGGGAATAGGGAAGATGGGAAGCATAGGGGAGAAGGTGATATTGCAATTTTAAATCCAGAAAGTGCTCATAAGGGAAGGTGATATGTTAGCAAAGATTTGAAGGAAAGGAGCTATTTGAGTTTGCTGTGTTATCCATGACATTCATGTTAGCAGAATATCTGCAACTCTTAAGTGCAGATGATAGTTGATATTCCTAATTTGACTTCCACTCTCTAAAACTGGTTCCCAAACCTTGATATGCATTTTAAAAAATCACCTGGTGCTGTGCAGTGGACTCAGGATGGGTAGGGGCTCTGAAAACTGCAGTTTTTAAACAAGCCAGTCTGTCCAATGATGCTGGTACCTGAGGTATTTCCTGGACCACTCTTGGAGAAGCACTGCTTTAAAATATACGGATGAGTCTTTGAGAACATCAACAACAAAGCTAAAGATCAAATTATAGTATGTTTGGTTTCAGTGTTGAAAGTATTCCACTCTGTTCTCATTCTTTGAAAAGGCAATACCCAAGCAAAGCCCTGGATTACCCAGAACATACCAGTTCTTGTCTGTACAGGAGAAGGAAAAATTTATTGTAGTTTATTAGAAACCATTCATTTAAAATCAGTCCATTTTACAACTTTCTTCCACTTTTTTTTTAAAAACATAGATTTCATATTTAGAGTAGTTTTAGGTTCACAGAAAAATTGATCAAGAGGTACAGAGATTTCCTATATATCTCCTTCCCCCACACATGCATAGCATCCCCTGTTATCAACATCCCCAGAGTGGTATTTTGTCATAATTAGTAAATTTACATTGACATATCATTATCACCCAAAGCCCATAGTGTTTGCATGAGGGTTCCGTCTTGTTGGTGTACATTCTGTGGGTTTGGACAAATGCAGAATAACATGCATTTACCACTATGGAATCATGGAATATGTCCACTGCCCTAAAAATTCTCTATGCTTCATATATTCAGCCTTCCTCTCCCTAGCCCCCACAACCACTTATCTTTTTACTGTCTGTATAGTTTTGCCTTTTCTGGAAGATCTTACAGTAGGAAGCATACAGTATATATCCTTTTCAGATTGGCTTCTTTCACTTAGCAATATATATTTAAGTTTCCTCTATGTCTTTCCATGATTTGATAGCTTATTTCTTTTTAGTGCTAAATAATATTCCACAGTCTTTATTGTATCCTGATGTATCTATTCACCTATTAAAGGACTTGTTGATTGCTTTCAAATTTTGGCAACTAAGGAAAAAAAAAGATGCTAAAACAGACATGTGCAGCTTTTATATGTATGGACATAAATTTTCAATCCCCTACTTTAAAAAAAAAATGTTTTTCTCTTTACTTTTTCTTTCTCTCAAATGTATGGACTCAACCAGGAATTAACCAACTGGGATTATTAGAGCACTTGACTGAGGGTCAGAAGACCTGGTGGTTGGTCCTGGGATCCCTGCTGTTTCTGATTGAGTGGGTCTAGAGATACTCCACTCAACCTTCTAATCTTTCATTTCTTTTCAGAGTTGCTTGAAGAAGTTTGTGAGATCATGTATATAGAAACACCTTTAAAACACTAAAGCATTCTGAAAACACAAGGAAGTTCATTCCCAATCCAGCTAATTTGGTCCAACTCAAATTCAGTTACTTCAAGTCTTGGAGTACTGAATGGGCAGAGTGGTGCATGCCTGTGATCCCAGCAGCTCGGTAGCCTGAGGCAGGAGGATCACGAGTTCAATGCCAGCCTCAGCAAAGGCAAAAGTTACTAAGCAACTCAATGAGACCCCTTCTCTAAATAAAATACAAAATAAATGGGGATGTGGCTCAGAGGTTGAGTGCCCCTGAGTTCAATCTCTGGTACCAAAAAAAAAAAGGCTGGGGATATAGCTCAGTTGGTAGAGTGCTTGCTTTGCATGCACAAGGCCCTGGGTTCAATCTCCAGCACCACCAAAAAAAAAAAAAAAAAAAAATTGTGAATCAAGAAATAAATGCTCATATTTATAGTCAATTGATTTTTTTGAAAATAATTTTTTATTTGTTCTTTTTAGTTATATATGACAGTAGAATGTATTTTGACATATCATACATACACGGAGTATAACTTCCCATTTAAGGCCCAGTTTCAATCCTCAGGACTACAGGGAGAAAAAACAAAAAGACTGAGATCAATTGAACATCATCAAAATTAAAACTTTTATACTTCAAAGGATACCTTCAAGAA